TTGTGTGTGGTGTGGGTATCCATGACCCAGCATTTCCTCCCTCCCCCTCTCCTGTGGGCTCAAGGACATCTAAGTAGGGTGTCCTTCCCTCTGTCTTGGTCAAAGCTTAGGGCAGATTCCGTGACAACCAGTCCTCTTTCACCATCTCTTCGCAGACATGTTTTCTCACTCCTGCCCGAAGAAGAGAGCACGGCAGGCCTTCCTCCCGCAGCAATTCAGGTAGGTTTGGAGGACCAGTGCACAGAGAGGTGGCAGGAAGGGACTCCCACTGCAAGCTACTCGTGGCAACAGCGCGGGCCGGGGGTCCCACCGAGGTCGTTGCTACTAATGAGCCCTCGCAGAGGCCCTTCTGAGGGGCGGCAACACTGCCATGTAGAAAGGACGTGTGTGCACTGAATCGGCAACGTGGTGGCCAAGGAGCTGTGGTTGAATGGTCCACAAATCTCCCAGAGCTTTGGAAAAAATTTAGGGCGCTGCATTGTGGGAAATGTTTGTTTATATAAAACCAGGTCACCTTTCACATTCTTTCCGGGTTTGATTCATTCTTTTGTTACCGGTAATCTCAACACAATGCCTGGCCAGCAGACTCTAAAACCGAACAAAAGGAAAACTCACAAAGGAAAGTGAGGAACTAACACCTGCAGGCAGACCCTCAGGCACACGGGAGGGTAGCAGGCTTCTGCTGAAGTTGGGTGTGAAGTTGGTAAGTTTGAAATTCAGTTTACTGATCAACTGAAATTCATATTGCAATTTTCTGTCCTTTTAGAAAGTCATATGATCTTCTGTGACTTTCCACTAGAAACTAGTGAGCTTCTTTTGCAAGGAAAAATTTGACAATAATGTTGAATTAGAGATGAATGAGCACATGAAGAAATAAGAAACCCATGACAGTGTTTTAGAAAACTAAAAATTGAATAAAGTTCTTTACAATCCAAGAACAAACCAATGCGGAGAAAGGTCACTGGATCCTTTTGTAAACACGGGCGTTGCTCTCTCAGGGTGGGAGCACTGGGCCATCACCCACACCATCCAAACCCGCATTAGACCGTGTCCAACCCTTTGCAGATACGCCTTGGAACTCTGATTCCTTGGCCCTCTGGGCAGCTGCACAGGGCCCGAGGTGGCCTGAGCCCCTGAACCAGGAGTGACTCTGCTCAGGGCTCCCGGGAGGGCCTACTGAGCTAAGCAGGACAGATGGCCACTGATGACGCACATGATGGGCAACAGCATCCAGATGCACAGTCCTGGTGTGGCCAAGGGTGCTGGCCACACCCCACTTTGGCAGCTGGCCCCAGAGCACAAGGCACCTTCAGGATCAGGGCCTGGGGCTGCTGGGAGCTTGAGGTCAAGGCAGAGGAAAGAGGAGGACAGCTCAGATGGGGGCTTTCGGAGATAGTTCGGTGGGTCTCTGGGGCCCGGCTCCAGGCAGCAGCCCAAAAGCTATGTTTTGGAGACCGTTTGAGGCTAAAATGCCCTTTTAGAGAGTAGTGAAGCAGTTGCAGGGTGAGTGATTGATAATGCATGTGTGTTTTGCAATGGACAGCTTCGATGCTATGAAAAAGTTCTTGATATGGAAATGCTCGAGTGGTTATAAAATCTGATTTCAACTTTACATTTGTCAATAAAAAGAAAGGAAGACGCTAGTGCAGAAAAGGCAAACAAAAAAAAAAAAAGAAAGGAAAGGCTATTTAACATTTTCATCTATTTTTGCGTATAAAGTTTCTTATTAACGGTGACTGTCAAGAATTTGAGGAGGCCGGGCGGGTGGCTCACACCTGTAATTCGAGTGCTTCGGGAGGCCAAGGCAGAACTATTGCATGGGCACAGGTGTGAAGACCACCAGCCTGGGCAACATGGTGAGACCCTGCCTTTACAAAAAAAAAAAATTAAAAATTAGCTAGGTGCGGTGGTGCACACCTGTAGTTCCAGCTACTCAAGAGGCTGAGGTGGGAGGACTGCTTGAGCCCAGGAGTTCAAGGCTGCAGTGAGCCATGATTACTTCACCTGATAGGAAAAGCTGTGTGTCCAGAAGCTGCTCATGAAATGTTCCGAAGAGCGTTTGTTTGGAGGTCCTACACAGGTTTCACGCTCACGGCCTCCCCTGACACTTGGCACTTTATTTTTGCTATAAGCACAGCTGCTGCAGCAGCCCAAATGCCCGGTTCACGCCCCTCCTGTGAGGCTGAAGCCGAACACTGAGACACAGGTGCCGGAGACGGAGAAATGCTCATTCCATTTGGCCCAAGCAAGAAGACAAGAGAGCAAGATTTCTCAAATCCGCCTTGACAAAGAGGTGAAGAGAGTTTTTACGCAGCTGGTGAGTCAGGAGGGGGTTTCAGGGAATGGAGGGAAAGTCTGCGTTTCTTCCATGTCGGCTAACACCTCCAGCAGCCAGACTTCAGGCGTCAGTGCCTGGTCCCAGCACCTTCGAGGCATTTCTTCACAAGCAAACATTTTTTATTTTTATTTTTTATTTTTTATTTATTTATTTATTTATTTTTTTATAAGAAAAAGAATAAAGAAGAGGAAGAAAGAGAAAGAAGAGGGAGAGAGGATGGGGGTATTGCTTTACTGCCCGGGCTAGAATGCAATCTAAATATGGGTATGCCTATAATTGTCCTTAATAATGAAGATATAAAAGAAAATGAGGGAAGAGAATAACAAACAAGGAGCCAACCAAGATTTCTTTTAAACTTCTAAGTTGATATGATGTGGTACTGATAAGAGTGTATATTTTGTATATTTAAAGTGGAGAGTTCTATAAATGTTAATTACATTTACTTGTTCCAGATCTGAGTTCAAGTCCTGAATATCGTTGTTAATTTTCTGTCTCATTGATCTGTCTAATATTAATGTTGAAGTCTCCCACTATTATTATGTGGGAGTCTAAGTCTCTTTATAAGTCTTGTATGTCTGCGTATTCCTGTATTGGGTGCGTATATATTTAGGATCTTTAGCTCTTCTTGTTGTTGCATTGATCCTTTTATCATTATATAATGTCCTTCTTTGCTTCTTTTGATCTTTGTTGCTTAATTGTAACTTCTGCTTTTTATTTATTTATTTTAGCTCTCTGGTTGGTTGGTAAATCTTTCTCCATCCCTTGTTTGGAGTCTTTGTGTATCCTTGAATGTGAGATGGGTCTGGATGCAGCATACTGATGGGTTTTAGTTTTTTATTCAAATTGCCTGTCTTTGGATTGGGGGATTTAGTCAATTTAAATTTAGAATTAATAATAATATATGTGAGTTTAATACTGTCATTAGCTGGCTATTTTGTCCATTAGTTGATGTAAATTCTTCATTATATTGATGCTCTTCTTGATAATTTTTTTAGAAAGGCTGATACTGTTTGTTCCTTTCTATGTGTAGTGGTTCTTTCAGAAGCTCTTGTAAAGCAGGCCTTGTGGTGATGAAATCTCTGAGAGCTTGCTTATTCACAAAAAACTTTATTTTTCCTTCACTTGTGAAGCTTAGTTTGGCTGGATGTGAAATTCTGGGTTGAAAGTTCTTTCCTTTAAGGATGTTGAATATTGGCCCCCACTCTCTTCTGGCTTGTAGGGTTTCTGCTGAGCGATCTGCTCTAAGTCTGATAGGCTCCCCTTTGTGGGTAACCTGACCTTTCTCTCTGGCTGCCCTTAGTATTTTCTCCTTCATTTCAACCCTGGTGAATCTGACGATTATGTGCCTTGGAGTTGCTCTTCTTGAGGAATATCTCTGTGGTGTTCTCTGTATTACCTGGAGTTGAATATTATCCTGCCTTACTAGGCTGGGAAAATTTTCCTGAATAATGTCCTGAAGCGTATTTTCCAGCTTGGATTCATTCTCTTCATCACATTCAGGTACACCTATCAAGCGTAGAGTAGGTCTTTTCACATAGTCCCATATTTCTTGGAGACTTTTTATCCTTTTTTCTCTAATCTTGTCTTCTTGTTTTATTTCATTGAGTTGGTCTTCGACCTCTGATATCCTTTCTTCTGCTTGATCAATTCGGCTGTTAAAACTTGTGCATACTTCACGAAGTTCTCCTATTGTGTTTTTCAGCTCCATCAATTCACTTATATTCCTCTCTAAATTGTGTATTCTTGTTAACATTTCGTCGAATCTTTTTTCAAAGTTCTTAGTTACTTTAGATTGGGTTAAAACAAGTTCTTTTAATTCACAGAAGTTTCTCATTATCCACATTTTGAGGCCTGCTTCTGTAATTGGAACACACTCGTTCTCCATCAAGCCTTGTTCCGTTGCTGATGAGGAACTGGGATCCCCTGCTGAGGGAGAGGCGTTCTGATCTTGGGCATTCTCAGCCTTTTTTGGCCGTTTTCCTCCCTTTGTTATAAATTTATCCATCTGTGGTCTTTGTATTCACCGTCTTTGTAATTAGGTTTCTGATCGGACATCCAACTTACTGATTCTTAGCGCCGAAATCTGAGCAACCCACTGCACCGACCAAATCAGCGGCGTTAAGATTGATGGTGCTTTTCTGACTGCACCAAGAACCGTCGCTCCAAGGCGCCAGCAAAACCGCCTCGCCGGTCACAAGAGTCGCGCTGGCGACCCGTGGGGCTCCTCCGCTGGGAATCTCCTGGTGCGTGAGCAACAAGAATTCATGTGAAGGTGTGGCGTCCTCTCGTTCTTTGCGCTTTCACTGGGAGCTACAATCCCGAGCTGCTAGTGATCAGCCATCTTGGATCTCTCCCCCCACAAGCAAACATTTTTTTTTTTTTTTTTTTTTTTTTTTTTTTTTAGGCGGAGTTTCGCTCTTGTTACCCAGGCTGGAGTGCAATGGCGCGATCTCGGCTCACCGCAACCTCCGCCTCCTGGGTTCAGGCAATTCTCCTGCCTCAGCCTCCTGAGTAGCTGGGATTACAGGCACGCACCACCATGCCCAGCTAATTTTTGTATTTTTAGTAGAGACGGGGTTTCACCACGTTGACCAGGATGGTCTCGATCTGTCGACCTTGTGATCCACTCGCCTTGGCCTCCCAAAGTGCTGGGATTACAAGCTTGAGCCACCGCGCCCGGCCAGCAAACATTTTTAATGATCTGGATGTGATCTCCTCCGGCTTGACAGAGAAACAGTAGATCAGCAGTGTACAATGATGATGTGGGAACAAGAAATACTGGGCACAACATGTGTGGTTCACCTGTGCCAGCCAGAGCAGCCCGATCAGAACGTTCATTGTTTCCGTCGCTCACTGGAAAGTGCTGAGTGCCAAACTCCCAGGGGCCCAGTTAGCAGCCTCAGTCACTAGACAGGAAAGGTGCTAAGGAAGGTGTCCTGAGGGGATTTCGTCATTGTGTGAACATCACGGCGCGCACTGCACAGCCTCATGGCACAGCCCCCTGCACACCCGGGCGATGAGGTGCAGCCTGTGGCTTCTGCGCTGTAACCCTGCACAGCACGTCATGCTCTGAATCCTGCAGGCAGCTGTCACACAATGGTAAGGATCTGTGTATCTAAGCATAGAAAGGTTCAGCAAAACACAGTATTCTAATCTGATGGGACCACTGGTGTACACGCAGTGCGGCATTGACAGAAATGTTGCTATGCAGTGCACGACTACATGTAAGGAATATTTTTAAATGTAATGAACATTTTCACCGAAGCCCCCAGAGATGCGCCCAGGCCCCTCCACTTCACCACAATGTGCTGTGGAAATCATATTTTCCAGGCACGCCCTGACATTATAAAGGCTGGGAAGCGTTGCATGGAGGACCCGTTCCCGCAGCCGGGACTCATGGGCAGAGCCAGGTGAGGGCCAGCCCTCCGTGCCCACAGGGAAGCCAACTGCTGCCTCAGGGGAGGGGAAAGGACGCAGAAAATGTCACCCAGGCCTTTTCTCCAAAAAGCCACCAGGCTGCTCCCTCCTGACCCCGCCCTCTCGGAGGAGCTCACCTTTGCTGACGTGTCCTGGGGCCAGCGAGCATCTCGCAAGTACTGACAGCCCGGCCAGAGGTCTGGCTCTGTTCCAGGAGAGCAGAGAGATAAAACCTCTGCCACACGGAGTTTATTTTCTAGATAGGGAAATAGACCAAAATAGATACAAATAACACAAGTAGAAAGCAGGCCACCGGTGTGCTGGTAAACATGTCACAGCCGCTCTGGGGGACGGCAGGCCTGACCTGTACACGTGCTGATTTCTGTGTGTGAGTCCTCCCACTCCAGCCACCTCCAGACTCGCTGTGTGAAGGTGCTGGCAGCTGCTCTCGTGGGCTGCTACAGCCAGCTTGGGCATATCTGAAGGTTCCACATGACAAGTTACAGAAAGAAGGAAAGCAGGCAGAGTGGCAATGTTTTACGGGGAGAGATACGGGAGGCCTCACTACGAAAGTACCATTTGAATCTGGGCATGGTGGCTCACGCCTGTAATCCCAGCACTTTGGGAGGCTGAGGCAGGCAGATTACGAGGTCAGGAGTTCAAGACCAGCCTGGCCAACATGGTGAAACCCCATCTCTACAAAAAATACAAAATTAGCCTAGTGGCACACACCCGTAGTCCCAGCTACTCGGGAGGCTGAGGCAGAAGAATCGCTTGTACTCGGGAGGCAGAGGTTGCAGTCAGCTGAGATGGTGCCACTGCATTCCAGCCTGGGTGACAGAGCGAGATACTGTCTCAAAAAATAAAGAAAGTGCCATCTGATGGAGAGCCGCTGTGGAAAACATGACGCCTGCTCTGCCAAGAGCCACAGGACCCCAAAATCTCCCACCACGTACATCCGAAAGAAACAGAAAGCAGGGACACGCGCAGGCAGGGCCCCGCCCAGCTCACAGCAGCGTCCTTCACGGCGCCCAAAAGGCAGAGACAACGCAGGATCCCGTGAATGGCCACTGGATAAACGAAGTGTGGGCCCTCTGAGAGCGGCAGAAGACCATTCCTAGGCAGACGGGGGTGAGTCCCCAGTGAAACCGGACCTTCAAGCCAAAGGCAGCCCGAGGCCAGAAAACCAGCGACCCCTTGCAGGCGAAGTCCACCACCTGGAGTGAGAACTTCCTCGATGCCTTTAGCAATCAAATGGTGGTTTTTCTAGGCCCGCCCATAGACCAATCAGCACACACTCTCCCATTGCGAGCCCATAAAAACCCTGGATTCAGCCACGTAGTGGGACCAAGGCCTTTGGTGCGGACTACTGGCCTTCAGGTAAGGGCTGCCCACTCCAGGTCCCCTCTCCGCTGGGGACCTCTCTGTTGTGCAATAAAAGTTTTTTCTGCCCTGCTCACTCTCCGGTCGTATGCGTGACCTCATTCTTCTGGATGTGAGACAAGAACTTGGCACCCGCCGAATGGTGGGTGTGAAAAGGGCTGTACCACCGTAACCCTCTGTCCTGCTCGCTGAGCAGTGGAGGAGAAGCCTCTGGGTGCCACACACCCCTGTTTGCTGAGGTTGTGGGCAGCAGGAATGAACTAGAGCTGTAGTGCCTCGCCAGAGCCCACACCTTGAAGTCCAAGAGCCAGAGCTGGAAAATGGCCTCGGCTCGCCAAACCACAGGTGGCGGGAGCAGTTGAGCTGCAACAGCCTGGGGACTCGTGGTTCCTGGTGTCTCTGAGTTTTTGGGCACCACCATGTTCCCCTCATCCAGACACTGGTGCCCAAGGCAGAAGCAGGTCGTGGCACACCTGGCCCAATTGCTGGCTGAGCGTGGGTCCTAGGGCGAGTGGGATCTGGGCCAGAGTGCAAGCCGAGCACAGCCCGCTGGGCCCCAGTGTGCAGGGTACCTCTAGCAGCGGCCTGGAGCCAGGTGAGGCCCGGCAGGGGGGCCAGCGGCCATGGAGGTCTCTGGCTGCTGAAGAACCGAAAAAGTCCTGTGCCACATTTATGCAATGGAGTAGCCTTCAGCCTTAAAAGGGGATTCCGACACCTGCTGCCACACGGAGGAAGCTTGGGGACATCAGGGTCAGTGAAATTAACTAGGCACAAAAGGACAAATCCTGCATGATTCCATTTATATGGGGTCGCTAGAGGAGTCACATTCATAGAGATGGAAAGCAGATCGGCGCTGCCAGGGGCTGGTGGGGGGATTGGGAGCCCATGCCCAACAGGAACAGAGTTTCCGTCTGGGAGGATGAGACGCTCTGGAGCTGGACGGTGGTGCTGGTTGTGCAACAGTGTGAGTGTAGCTAATGCTGCTGAACTGTACACTTGAAAACGGTGAAGATGGGCTGGGCATGGTGGCTCTCACCTGTAATCCCAGCACTTTGGGAGGCTGAGGCAGGCAGATCACTGCAGGTCAGGAGTTTGAGACCAGCCCAGCCAATATGGCAAAACCCTGTCTCTACTAAAAATAAAAATACACACACACACACACACACACACACACACACTTAGCCAGGCATAGTGGTGCATGCCTATAGTCCCAGCTACTCGGGAGGCCAAGAGACAGGAGAATCACTTGAACCCAGGAGGCAGAGGCTTCAGTGAGCTGTGATCACACCACTGCACTCCAGCCTGGGTGACAGAGTGAGACTTTATGTTATGTATAGTATACCATAATTTTAGAAATCAATAATGTTTACAAAGCAAGTTCCATCTGAGTAAAGCCCAGGCAGTGGAACAGCACAGCCCCCAAGGCTGGAGTGTTCCCCACATGCTGAGGAACAGCAGGAAAAGCCACGTAACTGGAGATGGGGAGTGCAGGGGAAGGGTGGAGAATGCAGGAGATGGGTGGGGAGAGGAGGAGAGGGGAATGTAGGGGAGGGGAGGAGAGGGGAAGGGTGGGGAGTAAAGGAGGGAGTGGGGAGGAGAAGGGAGGGGAGTACAGAGGAGGGGAAGGGAGGGGTGGGGAGGGGAGTGCAAGGGGAGAGGAGTGCAGGGAACATGAGGGAAGAGGTGGGGTGGGGAGTGCAGGGGAGGGGGGAGGGGAGGGATGGGGAGTGCAGGGGAGGGGAGTACAGGGGAAGGGAGTGGTGGGGAGTGCAGGGGAAGGGTGGGGAGTGCAGGGGAGGGGAGGGCTGGGGAATGCAGGGGTGAGATGGGAAGTGCAGGGGAGGGGTTGGGAGTGCAGGGGAGGGGTGGGAAGTGCAGGGGAGGGGTTGGGAATGCAGGGGAAGGGAGGGGTGGGGAGTGCAGGGGAGGATGGGGTGGGGAGTGCAGGGGAGGGGTGGGGAGTACAGGAGAAGGGTGGAGAGTGCAGGGGAGGGGAGGGCTGGGGAATGCAGGGGTGGGATGGGAAGTGCAGGGGAGGGGTGGGAAGTGCAGGGGAGGGGAGGGCTGCGGAATGCAGGGGTGGGATGGGAAGTGCAGGGGAGGGGTTGGGAGTGCAGGGGAAGATGGGGTGGGGAGTGCAGGGGAAGGGTGGGGAGTGCAGGGGAGGGGAGGGCTGGGGAGTGCAGGGGAGGATGGGGTGGGGAATGCAGGGGAGGGAGTGCAGAGGATGGGGTGGGAGTACAGGGAAGGGGTGGGGTTAGGGGTAGGGGACACCTGAGGGTGTTGCGGGGGACTTTGCATTTTATACTGAGGGACAAGGAAATGATAGGAGGATCCTGAGCATGGGAGTGGCGTGATCTGACATGGCTCGAAAGTACCAGGCTGGGTGGCCGGTGGCTCCCTCCTGTAATCCCAACACTTTGGGAGGTTGAAGTGGGTAGATCATGAGGTCAAGAGATCAAGAGCATCCTGGCCAACATGGTGAAACCCCATCTCTATTAGTAAAAAATACAAAAATTAGCTGGGCGTGGTGTCATGTGCCTGTAGTCCCAGCTACTCCGGAGGCTGAGGCAGGGGAATCGGATCTAGGAGGCAAAGTTTACGGTAAGCTGAGATTCCGATCCTGCCACTGCACTCCAGCCTGGCCACAGAGCAAGATTCCATCTCAAAAGAAAAAAGAAAGAAAGAAAAGAAAGTACCTTCCTGGAGAGGGAGGAGTGGGGAGAGAGAGGAGCAGGCAGGGAAGGCGTAGGTCAGGGCTGATCACACTGGAGCCGGCACACCAAACACGGAGCGGGGGCCGGGCCTGACCACTTTGGGTCCCAGCCACGAGGGGGCCAGCACCAGGCCCTGCACTGACCACAGACACGTCATTGCCCCAAGATGGGGTGGTGTGCTGCTCAGATGGTCCAAACAAGAAAAGGAATGTGCTCAGCAGAGGGAGGGCCCAGAGACCAGGGCAGGCTCTGCCTCTCACTTTACGTATTAGAAAAGTAAAGGACTTGTTGAAAAACATTAACTTCATTGCACTCACAAAGGAGAGAAGGTTAAAAGAATGGCGTGTGTGGCTTTATCTGGTGAGTCACTTGTCCGCACAGTGAAGAGTGTCGGCCTCAAGTTGGAGAAGCTGACTCGGCTGCGTTTCCTCCCTGTAAAATAAAACAAATGGCTCTTGACAAAGACCCTCCCTTGGACCAAGCTGTATCCACTCCTCTTGAGTTCCCTCTCGGACCAGGCTGTGACCTTGGCTCTGTCCTGGGCGGGCTCCGTAGGGGCAAATCCTGCTGAGCCTGCCTGGGGAGACCCACCCTGCGCTGTGAAAGTGCCCTGACTCCTGATGTTTCTTCTGAGGAATTTCTGTCCACAGGCCCTGCCCTGCTCCGGGCTGCCAGCTCCCACCCATCCCTGTACTTGAAACTGACCCCCGTCTCTCTCCCCTACTGCAACACCCCACTGGGGTGGGCCCTTCAATAAGGCCTCTTCACACCCTAACAAGGAAAATTCACTTTTTTCTTTACCAACTACCCTTAGCTACCGTCGCAGCCTGCTCAGGCTGCTGTGACAACACCACAGGCTCAGGGGCTTGAAACAACAGAAATCTGTTTCTCACAGCTCGGAGGGCTTCAGGTTCCCACTGGTTGTTTCTGGTGAGACTCCTTCCCGGCTTGCAGAGGCTAGCGCGGCCTTTCCCAGAGAGTGCTCCTGGGGCGGAGAGAGCACAAGCACCCTGGGGTCTCTCCTCACAGGGACACCAATCCCAGTGGGTCAGGGCCCCACCCTTATAACCTTCACCCCAGTACCTCTTGGAGGCCCCTCTCCAAACACAGCCACAGCAAAGGGTTAGGGGTTCCACATGAATTTTGGGGGACACATTCAGTTCATAACTGTGATCCCCCTAAGTTTTCCTCTGGGTAATGTCAGGTTAAAGCATGTTGTCTACCTAAAAGGAGCACACTACATATCATATGAATCTCAGATACTCAGCACGTGGCGCTATGTCACAGTGTTCCACAGAGGGATGTGAGCTGCAAAGACTGGGGTGGGATCTGAACACCTCAGCTCAGCACGCATCCACCTGGCCCCCGGGGTTTCTGCTGGGGCGAGTTCCGCAGGTTGCACACCCACGCCCTTTACTTGGCCTCTTTGAAGCACACCTTCCAAATATTTTCACCAAATATTTTAAACAGGTATTACAACATGATTCAAAGATCAAAATGATTTAACTGCAATAGTTAAAGCAGCTTTAGTCCTCAACTGCCCATCAAGAGACAGGAGTTGGCACAAGGTGACTCTGATCTTGTGTTGACGTAAGTATGTGTCAAAGGACAACTTTCATCAAAATATGCCTCCAAATTAAGATTCTTTGGTGATATGGGAAGCCACCAGTATACGGTGGTAGGGTTTTGGACAAAGACAAATGTCAATGAAATGGGAAACAGGACTTGTGGCTCTCCGATCCCAGCATGTTGGGAGGCCAAGGCTGGAGAACTGCTTGAGCCCAGAAGTTGAAGACCAGCCTGGCCCAACATGGAGAAATCCCATCTCTACTAAAAATACAAAAAAATTAGCCAGGCACGGTGGTGGGCACCTGTAGTCCCAGCTACTCCTGAGGTTGAGGCAGGAGAATCATTTGAACCCAGGAGGTGAAGGTTGCAGTGAGCCGAGATGGTGCCACTGCACTCTATCCTGGGCAACAAGAGCAAAACTCCGTTTCAAAAAAAAAATGTACATATATATATATATATAACATAAAAAATTAAAAATCATACAAAGATGTGCACAGCAGTCTCATCATTGCCCTATTCCCACCGACAGCATCCTCTCTGCATTCCCAGCGTGGTGGAGTAACAGCTCAGTGTGTGTGAATCGTTATGCGTCCTGAGGCACAAGGCAGCCTGCTGAAACACGAATCCATACTTCCTGTTTTCCACTTAACAGTGCCCCGAGATCCTTCTTGTCTGTGGGTACTTATGAGCTGTCACTCTCTGACGCTGTTTATTCCACGACCGCTTCAGATGCCGGTATTGTTTCCAGTTCTCTGATATTAAAAACCTGGTCGTCCTTTATTTTTATGCATGCAGGTGTATCTGCAGCATGAATTCCGCGGAGTGGGGACCAGTGGGTTAGAGTATCGCATCTGTAGTTCAGACAGTGGGCCGCGCCTGCCTGGTGTTGAGGGCTGCCAATCTGCACGCAGCACCACACAGGGGAGCACACGTTTCCAGGCAGCCTCAGCAGCATGAGAACTGTTGCTAATATCATACAGAGAAAACGTCTTCTTGGTGTTTTAATTTGCATTCTCTCGTGAGTGAAGTTGGGTATCTTTTCATTCCTAAAGGACCCTGTTTCTTTTTCTGTGAACAATTTGACTAATCCATTCTCCTGAGTTATTAGTTGTTCTTCCAATTTCTAAAAGTTCTTACGTATTAGGGAAATTTGTCCTTTGTGATACGAACTGCAAATTCTTTTCCTAATTTGCTTTTGCTTACAGCTCTTCAGAACTCTTTCGTATTAAGCTTTTACTTACAGTCTTCTTTCATGGTGGCTGGATGGTAAATCCTAGGTTAAAGGCCCTTGCTTACTGTTGAGGTTCCGCCTTTAATATACACGACACTGTGCAAATTTAGGTCTAGAGAACAGAGCTCTTCTGCTAGGTCTCAAACCCTATCACCGTATACTGGCGGCTTTCCCTATCACCAAATAATCTTAATTTGGAGGAATATTTTGATGAAAGTTGTTCTTTGACAAATACTTATGTCAACACAAGATCAGAGTCACCTTGTGCCAACTCCTGGCTCTCAATGGGCTATTAAGAACCAAAGCTGCTTTAACTGGCTGGCCAGGTATTCGCCCAGCAAATCGTCAGTGTCTTCTGTGTGCCGGGAGGCACAATGTGGGCAGATGGGGCCAGCCCTCCCGGTATTACTCCTGAGTGTTTGTGAACTCAGGAACCACGACTGACCACCATGATCATTGCTATGTGTTTTGTTCTGATGACACCCTTTTACTGAGTTCTGAACGTCAACTCATCACATGAATAAAAAGGGGGCTTTAGTTGAGTGACCTATTCCTTCTTGCTCCAGAACTACTGGAATATTAGAATTAGGAAAAAGACCAAAAATCAACACCAAGGTCCTCCTTTTTAGACACACAATCCGAGGCCCAGACTTGCTCAACCTGAAATAAACAACATCACCTGAATCAGGAATGCAGCATTCACTGGTTCCTACTTAGTTACCCAAGCTGATCACTAGCCAGGAGTGCTTTTTCCTTCTGTTTGACCTCCGACCTCATGCACTTTTGTGCCTGTCCCACAAGACAGCAGAGGGGCTTTCTTCAAGCTTCAGCAACGGCATGACACCGGGTGGGGAGCGCTGCACAGAGAACTTCTTCCGCAGCCTGCTTGTACAGCATGAACATCCTATTTTGGAAGCAGCACCTGTTGACAGCTTAAATATTCCACAATATACAGCACAATCTGATATGTAACAGTCACTCAAGTATTTTCTGAATTGGAGCTGATGAAGATGTCATATGTATCATTGTAAATTTCTAAAGATATAAAACATGCAGCTGATATTTTGATTCTCAGTAATGTATTTCCTTTTAATAAAAAGAAAATTGACAAAATTGCCCCCTAAAACTTTATGATTCCTCCTTAACTGAGTGTGGCTGGACCTTCGTTCCTCCAGCTTCACATGTGTTCTGCTGCACTGACACCGTCTGTATTTGTGAAAATCCCACAGACTGTCAAGATTTTAGAGGCACAACTTTTCATCTCTGTATTTCCAATTCTGGTGTAATTTTTCATTTTTTTAAATCACAGATTCTCAAATGGCAGGGGCAGCAGTAAGAGCATGCTTTTGGATCTTCTCAAATCCTCACCTAAAAACAGAACTACTAAACAGCAAAACCAAAAACTCACGAACATTTGTAATAGAATGAGGTGACAGTGTTGCCGAGGATGTGGACTGAGCTGGAACTTTCCTGCCTGGCTGGAGGGAAGGGAAAAGTAAAGCTTACACTTGGAAAAGTTTCCATTTCTTAAGAAGCACACACCTGTCATGTGACCCAGGCATTCCGCTCCAAGGCGTTTACCCCAGAGGAACAGAGGACAAAGACCAGGACAGAAAGGTTCCCGGCAGCTTTCCTTGCTTTATTTGTATTTAGTCAGAAACTGAAACAATCGACATGTGTCGGTCAATAGGTAAATAAACAGACTGTGGTACAGCCATACGATACACAGTGCGGACTGCTGACACACACGGTGAACGCTAAGACAATTATGCTGAGCAAAGGAAGCACCTCCCCCCATAGTACTTGTTCTATGATTCCACTCATATATAATTCTACAAAATATAAATTAATCTTTAGCGACAGCGAGCAGACCAGTGATTGCCTGAGGATGGGGGACATGGAGGGACGGGTTACAACGGCTGTGAAAATACTGTTGGTGGTGATGGACGTGTTCTGCTGATAGCTTCACAGGAATATGCATCGGTCACTTTACATAATAGAGCTGTTTTAAAAAGCAAGGTGGGGCTGGGTTTGGTGGCTCACACCTGTAATCCCAGAACTTTGGGAGGCTAAAGGTGGAGGATCCCTTGAGGCCAGGAGTTTAAGGCCAGCCTGGGCAACAGAGAGAGACAAAAGTGGTGGCATAACAACATTTACAAATCAAAAAGAAACAAAGAAGGAGGTAAAAGAGATTCCAGAGACAGTGGCAAACACTGAAAACAGACAACTTAGATTAACACACAGATAACAGGGATCACCAAAGAAAAAAAAAATTTGGCAAGAAAAATATAACACTAGACTACAGTTTCAAGCAATCTTTAACAGATTTGAAAGTGCACGTAGAAAGTGCACACCATACACCTGCAAATACGGACCAGGACAACCAACACCAACACGTGACACATTTGAATACCACTGCTGACTCGAGAGAAAAAGGAAAAATCCTTCGGGCATCTAAGCAACAACAGCATACGACCTGTCAGGGGAAGCAAATAAGATTCATCAGGCTTTTCATGCATCACTGTATGCTAGAAGAAAACAGAATAAAACAATTCAGATACTCAAAGAAAATCTGAGCCAAGAGTTTCATCTCCAACAAAACTGAATTCAACATTAGAAACTCACTGACTATAGACAGGTTATGACAACTGAACACACAGAAATGAGAGTCAATGGCGGTAAAAGGGAGCTATTTTTCTGACAATGTAGACACAGTGCTGTTTTCATCATCACAGCTAGTGCTACGGTACTAGTATTTTAAAAAATACTCAATGTTAAAGTGGAATAAAACAAGTGAGTGATTACAGGATATTCCAGGCCATCATCCTGTCTTCTGAGTGTGGGAGACACAGACATCTTATAGAAGAGGCTATGTACAGACCCCAGAACGCTGACTTTGTATTGGGAATATCAATACAGGTTCAGAAAATATTTTTTCTTTAAATGTGTGTGTGTAATGTTTGTATTTTTTTAAAGGTCTGTCCAATAAAAACTCTGGAAACAATGACCAAACCTATAGCAATGAGCATCCTAGACTGTGGATCTGAATTACCACCTCCACCAGAGACTCTTGGAAAAATAATGGATTCCCAGTGTTATACAGAATTAAGTTTGGTCTAAAACTGCCTCTGTACATAGTGACTTTGACTTAGAAACTCACTGAATGTATAAACAGACTGCGCCTTAATGTGAGAGCATAATCCTGTAACAAGCAACAGAGTCTCACTGATCACAGGCTGAAAGGCTGCAAAACACGGTGATGTGAAACAGAGGTGGCACTGCAGTGAACCTGGCCATGTCCACGTGTTTTTCCCCTTCCTCTCTGTGACTGCAGCCTGCACATGATGCGCGAGGGAGCGTTCGAAACCACTTTTGGTCCTGAGTGCTACCCGGCTGAAGCAACGATTTCTGCTCAATTAAACTGTGAACTTGTCTAAGGTTTTTTCTTTTATGAAAAGTTTGGGGCAGAAGCTGTACAAGAGGGGCCTAGAGCACCTGCACATGCCAGGCTGCAGGTGCTATCACTGACTGCACACGTGGTCTGTGCGTCCATGAATACGCATGCATGCATGCTTAACAAAACTCAAGAGCCCAGCTGAAGAGGCTCCCTCTCACTGACCAAAGGAGCGAGTAAGTTAAACAAAGATAAGTATCACAATGGACTGAAATCCATCAAATATGCTTAACTCCACAAATTCTGTTTTTTTAAAGACAAGGACTTGCTGTCACCCAGGCTGGAGTGCAGTGGCATTGTCACACCTCACTGCATCCTCAACCTCCTGGGCTCAAGCGAGCCTCCCATCTCAGCCTCCAGAGTAGCTGGGACAACAGGCAGGCACCACCACAGCCACCTACTTTTATTTTAATTTTCTGTGGAGACGGTATCGCCATGTTACCCAGGCTAGTCTCAAACTCCTGGGCTCAAGTGATCCTCCTGCCTCTGCCTGTAATCCCCAAAGTGCTGGGATTACAGGCATAAACCACCATGCCCAGCCCATGAATTCTTAATATATATAAATAAAAAACCTTAACAGCTCACCATCTAAGGATGACAGAGAACTAATGCATTATCTTAAAAACTTACTGTGCAAGAGCAAAGAACCAAGCATTTACCCTGCCCTTCCGATGTGAACTGTACCACTGGGTAACCAGATAGTATACAAAAGAAAACACTTTCCTAGAAAACCATTCCGGTGAATAAAGGCAAGCAAAAAGACAGAATGAGAATATTAACCATTTTGCAACCCCAAATAATTAACAGATCTTGGCCCTGAGCATCAGCTGCTGTCAACATGGACAAGGACTCCCGATGAGAGCCCCTAACTGCCTCATCTCCTGCCAAAGGGCTCAAATCTGAGGCTCACAAAGCCTCTAGAGCCAGCTGCCAATCTGCGGACACAGAGGACAGGAAGGACAGTTCATCATGCTGAACTGCAACACGACCATATGGTCAACGAAATCTACACTGTGGGAAGCAACGGGACAAACGGCCCAGGCTCTTCAACAGATAACGGAAGGGAGAAGAGCGAGGCAGATAGGACTGCAAATGGAGACTGATCAAGTCAAAGAAGAAAGTGGACAAGACCAAACTGCCATCAAGAAACCAAGAAAGTCACTCTGTCAAAGTCAGGAATACTTCTGCAGGCGAGGAGCGGGAGAAGGGGACTGTGGCTGGAGGGGCACTTGGAGAGCCTTCTGGGGTATCCGGCAAAGTGCTGCTTCTTCCTTGGGTGGTGGACACAAAGGTATTCACCTTACAACCGTAACATTCAATAAGCTGTGTATTTGTTTTGTGTCATTTCCTGTATGTTTTTATTTTATGATAAAAAAGTTTAAAACTAAATAATCATGTCAAACTTTTATTTATTTTTGAGAGAGTCTCGTTCTGGAGTGCAGTGGTGCAATCTCTGCTCACTGCAACCTCTGGCTCCCAGGTTCAAGTGATTCTTGTGCCTCAGCCGCCCAAGTAGCTAGGACTACATGCACGTGTCACCACACCCAGATAGCTTTTGTATTTTTAGTAGAAACAGGGTTTTGCCATGTTGGCCAAGAAGGTCTTGAACTCCTGACCTCAGGTGATCTGCCTGCCTTGGCCTCCCAAAGTGCTGGGATTATAGACCGGAGCTATCATGCCCGGCTAGGGTCGAACTTTTTTTTTTTTTAAATTTGCAGTTTTTAACAGAAGAACCAAATAAATTTTTGAAAGACTTATTTACACATCTTGGTCTTTACAAGTTGTAACTGTTCCTAGAGAATGGCCTAGCAGCCAGGGTTGCCTGCAGGCAGGCTTTGCCCTATACCAAGTGCCCCGCAAGCAGGCTTGTGGGGCTGAGACCCAGCACACATCCTGCCCGCTGAGCTGCCCACCCAGGCCCCAGGCTGCACGGTTCTCTAATGTACCCACAGGCATGTCACTATACAAGCAGGAGACTCACTCCTATAAACCGGACGGTAAATGGATGCTTTCAGAATACTCCCAGACTTCTGAGTTGCATCTTTTAAACAGTGTTTTTTAGATTTCTTATCAACATAAATATAAGCTGCAGCATTTTAGGCCATTTGCCTTGCTTGCCTGCAATAAAACAAGCAAGAACGTATGGAACACAGTAAGCATAATGCTGAAATCTCACATAACTCTCCAATCTCAAAGATGTTCAATATATTATATACTTAACGATTTTTTATAAAATTGGGTCACAGAATGCCACTGCGCCTCCCTGATTCCATGTGAAAGCCGCGTCTGCCCATCCACCGCAGTGGTCCCGCCTGCAGGCTCTTTTCCACACCAGTAAGTACAAGCAGCGAAACAGCCGCTGGCTCAAGTTTTCCCAAGGACTCACGTCACGTGGGTCAGTCTTCCGACTGTCTAGCTCCTTCTCTGGCTAATCTATCAGCCTCTTCATTGCCCGTAAATCCTGAATGACCAGGAACGTGCATCTGTTAAAATAAGTGTTTTCCTTTTATTTTACTCATCTTTACATAAGCAACACATGACTATATTCTCATTACAAAAGCTCAACTATTCAGAACAGACTGAGTAGCAGAAGCTCGGCTCCAACGCTCCTCTCCCCAAACATGAGCCTGAAGAGCACGCTGGAGATTCTTCGTGCACTTATGCAATGGATGTATTTACAAACATTCCATTTTGTTTTTCTACAAATTTGATTTTACCATTCATGTTATTTCCTCTCCCACGTATCAACTGGACTTGATAAGCTTTCCAGGGAAAACACAGGTATGTACAGATGGGTGGACGGGTAGGTATGCGACACACACGCATACTCCCTTGCAGCACTGTCAGAAAGAATCATGTGCGTATAGAACTACAGTCTACACTTATGTTGCCAAAGCAAATTTACATGCCAGGCCACCAAACTCTTATCAGTGCTTCTGGGAAGGCAGAACAAGGCAGGGTTGAGACAATGGTTGTAGTTTAATTTGTTCTGTATTGCTTGAAAAAAACTTTTTAAATAAAAATGATTGTTTAAAAAAATGCTTCCATCTTGGAGTAAAAGTTGTTACCAAGGCTTTCATCACACGTCCTTACTGGTGTTTTAAACAAGATACACTGCAAGTTAGTTTTAACATATGACACATTCCAAAGAAACGAAGAGGGGGACATGTAGCTGTCACAGTAATGCCCTGTGCCCAGGTTGGGCATTACTTTGTGCTCTTAGAATATAAGGATTGTAGAACACCCCTCAAACCATGCTGCCTATGTATATGCCCAGTGATACTCTCATTAAAACTGTATTACTTGTAGTGGCTCATGTCTGTAATCTCAAAGCACTTTGAGAGGCCAAGGCAGGTAGATTGTTTGACGTCAAGAGTTTGAGACCAGCCTGGGTAACACGACAAAACCCCATCTGTACTAAAAACACAAAAATTAGCCAGGTGTGGTGGCACATGCCTGTAAACCCAGATACTTGAGAGGCTGAGGCACAAGAATCCCTGGCACCCAGAAGGCAGAGGTTGCAGAGAGATCACGCCACAGCCTGTAGTGACAGAGCAAGACTCTGTTTCAAAATCCAAACCAAACCAAACCAAAAAACTGTATTACTCATACGGTGATTAAAAGAATCAAATGTGTGTCTGTGGGTGGGTTTTTTTTTTTTTTTTTTTTGAGACAGGGTCTCGCTATTGCCGAGGCTAGAGTGCAGTGGTACAATCTTGGCTCACTGCAACCTCGACCTCCCCAGCTCAAGTCATCCTCCCACCTCAGCCTTCTGAGTAGCTAGACTACAGGCATGTGCCACTATGCCTGGCTAATTTTTTATTTTTTCTAGAAACAGAATCTCACCATGTTACCCAGGCTGGTCTCGAACTTCTGGGTTTAAGTAGTCAGCCTGCTTGGGCCTCCTAAAGTGCTAGATTATGAAGTGACCACTGTATCCAGTCTCAGATATGTCTTAGTATACATTATGATGTTGATTTCATGAAAGTTGTTATGTCTTTAAACCATTTACATATACCATTAATCTCTAGTAAATTTAGCTTATCTGGTCATAATTGCCATAAGATGTTAACATTTGAGAAGATACTCACCCACTGGATGTCCATGCCCTGGGTGAGCCTCTCCAGTGCCACAAAGTCCTCTTTGTTGATCACCTCTTTCCCTGTACTTGTCTTCCACCCGTTTTTCTTCCAGCCTTGAACCCAGTTAGTTATACCTACAAGAATGCCTGATCACTGGTGAGTTAATCTTGAGCGTCCTGCTTTCTTCACTTCCCTAGTCTTATCTCTTATAATCGATCCCACCTGTACTCTGAGTCACCATCCTTGACTCTTATACTTCCTTAGCTGGCCTTAGTTGCTTTGGCCTTTGGCACAGCCTGAAATACCACCCTCTCTTCCCTTTCCCCGAACTTGTATTCTACCTATAGCTGTCAGCTTAAGATGTCACTTCTCCCAGGAAGCCCTCCCTAGCCTCATAAGCATCCCCTACAGGGCATTTCCCAAAGAAGCAGTCAACACGCCATCTGAAGTGACATGCACACACAGACTAGAAGTGCCACTACAGCAGAGCCACTTCGTCTGACGGCATCTCTGGTGCCTCGCAAAGAAACAGGCCTGTGGAAAACATCGGAGCAGCAGAAGAGACACTCCGAAATCCCCACTCTGCTTAGTACCTGACAAACCAGTGTCATCCCTCTATTTCCATTTCGGTCTTGCCCTGTTACTATACCTCCTATCAATTTCCCTTCATGGTTACTAGAAAAACAGAAGAAATCCATTGTGAAAACTTACCATTTATGGTAAACATACTGTCTGTATACAGAACCAATTTATTGATGTTTTGAGCCTTTGCTTGTTCAATGGCTTTGCAGGCTGCCTTGAAAAGACAAGTCAAGAGTCATTCCACAGAAAACGTTCAACTTTGACATTATTGATGCTCAAAGACCCCAAAACTGAAACATCCCTTCGGTACTGTGATGATTATACTCTCTGCATGACACACTACTATTAGAATCCTCCTGCAGAGACACCTATCTGAAATAAGTTTTTAGAATTTTTCTACAAAATTCCTATTTTTCAGAATTGTTATGAAACCCAAGCATCTTCTTCAAATATCTTACATATATAGGTAGGAAAAAAAATTAGCTGATTTATTTGATATGCTCACACTCAATGCTCAATAATGACAGGCTTCAATATATCTGATAACTTACATGAATTTCGGCTCTTTGGTTTGTCTGTCGCCCAGGAAGTCTAATGCCTACATTTCTGTTTCAAAACAGTACAAAAGAAAGTAAAATTATAAAGTGAATTCTCAAAGTGATTATTCGTAATGGATAACAATAAACTAGTGTGTATTTTTATTTGAAATATAAAAGCATCAAATAAAAGTCAAACTAACAGAGAGACTGCCAGAAGCAGAGAGTATAAAAGGTTTCCAAACTCCGGCACCTGCTGACTCTCTGGGGTCCCACTAGGGCAGAGGAAGTCAGAGCTAGTTCTCTGTGGACCCTGACTTAGGACCTGTGGCTCCAACAAAAAGAATCCCAGGAGAAAACTCAGTAATAAGAATGGAGGGAGTGAGACCTCAGACCGAAACTACTAAAAACTTCCAGGAAATAAAGGAGGAAAATGAAATCAAGAAACTAGAAAAACCCTCAGATAAGTTACTTAAAATTTGGGGTCACTAAGTCATTTAAAATTAGGAGATCCAGAGTTTCCTAAAAGACATGAGCAATTTTTGGACCAGGCGTGGTGACTCACACCTGTAATTCCAGCACTTTGGGAGGACAAGGTGGGAGGATCACGTGAGGCCAGAAATTTGAGACCACCCTGACCCACATAGTGAGACCTCATCTCTACTTTAATTTAAAAAAAAAAAAAAAAAAAAGACTCCTCTACAGGGCAAGAAAGAAACACCAAAGCCAGGTGCGGTGGCTCACACCTATAATCCCAGCACTTTTTTCAAGGCAGGAGGATCACTTGAGCCCAGGAGGTCAATGATGCAGTGAGCTGTTTCTGGCACTGCACTCCAGCCTGGGCAACAGAGTGACACTGTCTAAAAAACAAAACAAAACGAAGCAAAGCTGAGGTACCAACGTTCTGAAGAGCAACGCTGCTCAGCACCAACACAATTCAAGCTGTTCCTCTGCTACCCCCGCCAAAGCTATTTATCTGCAGGTTTTCCCAGTAGCCAACCAATAAGCAGAGCCGCCTCATCTCACAAGTTGTGGAGCCTGATTGAGGAACACTCAGCTTCCTTCGATTACTTACAAAGGATGGCCCGGCCCCCAGTAAACGCCGATTCCTGCTCGTGGCCTCCTCCGCCCATTACTGCAGCAGCAGCCATCCGTGTAGACGACAACCGAGTCTCCTGTGGGAAGAGAAGTAAACGCTGCTGGGCTGACCTTACATGTTCTGTCTAGGAAAATGTGCTCAATTCCTTACAAGGGGGCACCCAGCATTTATGCTCAGAGTCCACTTACATTTTGGTCTTGCAGGCCAGGCAAGTTCAGGGTAAAGGCAGTTACTTTGTAAACTAGAGCCCGCTGCAGTAAGTACTGTTCACACCCCACACTGAGGGTTCAAATGACAACGACTGTCTCCACAGCAGGGCCACCTTCACTGCCAGGGAGCCGTCCTTCCAGAGACAAGCAGAGCCTCAGCATGGCGGTGAGCCTGCCTGCCAGAGGGCCCAGTCTCCTGACCAGTGCTGCTCCCATTTCTTCCCTGGCATATTCGCTACTAGTTTAATATGGTTCCCATCTGTTTCTTTCCCTCTAGACAGACGGTGTGATTGACATACCAAGGCTATAAATAACAAGGTGATAAAGGACTGATGGGACCACTCTCAGGCCCCTGGTGACCAGGACATTTCAGCAGTGTGGTGGGAGCAGAGGTCAGGTGGTGAAGTGTTAAAAGAGCTGGGCGAGAGGACAAATAGAGGTCGGACGCGCGGGAAGTGGACGTGCTTGTCCTAAGAACGGCACACTGAGCACAGCGGCAGCAAAGGGGCAGAGACGACGACGTGCACCTCATGGGAGTGGGTGTCGCGCAAGGCTCCTTAGTTCAGCTGGAACACGACTGTATCAGCACGACTACAAACTTTCCGCCCAGCCACTGAACTGCTGGAGCCAGCACCGCCATCTGCCATGTTCCAGCCCACCGAGCCTCAAGCATGGTCAGTGGCTGGAAACAGCTCATTTCCCTGCTACTCCACAAATCTCTGCTTTAACTCCTACTAGTAAATCACCAAATAAAGAATACTTGTGTGATCTTTTTCTTAGATAACTGCAAAACTTATCCATAAATAATACAGCTTGGCACAACATTTTCTACTGGTTTCCCTTGAATTAAATCAGAATCTACAAATATACTGATTTATATTTTTAAATGCTACTTATTTCTGTTTTTTGCACATATGTGTAAAAGACACAAAGGAGACTTAAGGTCACTACTACCCTGCTTCTCAGGATAAAACAGAATCTCCTGTTTTCCAAAGATTGCGAATGAAAGCTTAAAGTGCTGGTGCTAATTATTTATAACAAGCAGCTGTATGTGGGGCATTTCTTATTTGAAAAAGTTGGAGCCTTTGCATTTTATCTTGGTAACGTTAAGTACCGCATGCATAGGGAATATATTGGTATTTCAGAAGATTACAGTTACTCATTTATACATAAGGGTTTTCCTAAGAACAGTGGTGGTTTAATTCTGCACCACTTGATCAATTATAAAGTAATGACCTTAGTGATTTCTAAATAATCTTTACATGTAACAATGAAGATGAAAAACATCACCTCACACTTCCCCCATTAAGTGGAAAATATATTTTACACATATATTTTCATGATGTAACAATCAGGGAAACCCAAGCAAGATGTACCCATGTAGGAAAACATGTCTCTGCTAACTGGAGGTGCCGGCTCCACACTGGGCTTCAAGTGCTTTGCATACGGCTCTGCGCCTTCATCTCCACCCAGTGGCTCACGGAGTCGCTTGCTGGCTTTCGTCTGTGATTCTTGTCCATGTTGACCTTCCTGCCCTGAAAGAGTCCACTTGTGAGCTGGAAACTATGAACATAACACGAAATGCTAGAGGATGAAGAAATCCAGTAAGTTCTTTAGCACCATTAAATCAGACTTAAACACCCTCTTCATGTGGCCCTACAACAAGGGAATGACTCCATCCACACCATCTCAGACTTCCATACTCTGAGAAATCATTCCGAATTTTCCAAGATAAGTTTGATAAAGACAGTGTGAGGACAACAGCAAGGTTCCTGTTGAACACAACCTGGTTTTGATGGAGATAATAATACCAAGGGTTCTTGACCCTTTAGGGATCATGGACAGTTTGAAAATCCAAGGGGCTCTTCTTCCAGGAAAAACATGGACCGAAATTGTGTATATAACATCAGTGGTTATATATCCAGCTCAATTCTGGACGCAACCTGCCTCTCTCTGAATTGTGCTTTGTCCAGGATTGTTATGATGACTCAAAGGAGCAGTTGTTCAGTGTTCAAGCATCTCAGTCGCCTCTAGAGAGACTGTTCCAACATAAGATAATTAAAACTATGCCTTGCTCAGTTTTAATTTGCTGTAGTAAAAGTCTGTAAGTAACATTCATGTAAGATCCCTTCAGGGTGGATTCAGAAATATTTATAAAATCTGGTGCTCTAAAGTCATCACCCTGCTCATCTGAGTCTGCATATTGCGCTTTCAACTTCCAATTATATCAGGCATTAATCTTATACTGAGCTTTAAACTTTGAATAACCATACTTTCTATAACACATACAACTGGAAGAAACTGGCCGGGCATGCTGGCTCACGCCTGTAATCCCAGGACTTTGGGAGGCCGAGGCAGGTGGATCACTTGAGCTCAGGAGTTCAACACCAGCCTGGCCAATATGGTGAAATCCCATCTCTACTATAAAAATACAAAAATTAGCCAGGCGTAGTGGCACGCACCTGTAATCCCAACTACTCGCGAAGCTGAGGCAGGAGAATCACTTGAACCCAGGAGGCAGAGACTGCAGCGAGCCAACATTGCACCACTGCACTCCAGCCTGGGCAACAGAGCAAGACTCTGTCTCCAAAAAAAAAAAAAAAAAAAAAAGGAAGAAATTAAGATTTTGTAACTCTGTCCTCAATAGAAAGGAAACACCACAAAGGTGCATGCCAGGAAAAGAACCACACTCATGCCTGTAAAAGTATAATCCAATCAGTCCAATAACTATGCAAGTATTTTTTTTTTTTTTTTTTTGAGCTCTCTTGTCCTGACGCCAGGCTGGAGTGCAATGGTGCAATCTCGGCTCACTGCAGCCTCTACCTCCCAGGCTCAAGCAATTCTGCCTCAGCCTCTTGAGTACTGTGATTACAGGTGCACGCCGCCACGGCTGGCTAATTTTTGTATTTTAGTAGAGATGGAGTCTCATTATGTTGGCCAGGCTGAACAAATACTTTTTGAAAAGACAAGGAATGAAGGAATGACAGCATAAAAAGCTGAATGGAACAGGAGATCTGAGTCCTGACTTGTTCCTAATATTATAAGTAACATGAGCCACTATTTTTAACTGTTCTCAGCCTGTTTCCTAATTTGCAAAATGAAAACAATCACACTGTCTTCTCTATGTGCCTGGAGGTAGCTATATAGATCAAATGCCATCTGGCATATGAAAGCCTTTGAATAGGTTAAACTGTCACACTGATGGGACAGGAGAGGGGACTACCTTCTGAAGCTTCCGGGCTTGCAGATTTCCTGACGAAGGCCCAGGCCTCATCCTCTGTGGCAAACTTCTTAAATCTGGCAGCAGGAAACCGGTCCACCTGAGCCTTGCACTCATTCCTGGAAAAGATGCGCAATGTTACTGCCTTCTTCCCTCCCTAACTTATCCCCTTTGCAATTAAGATTTGTAACGTTGGAAGTACAGTTGTCCCTTGGTATCAGAGGGGGACTGATTCCAGGAAAGTCCTCCAACCCCGTCAGATACCTACATCAGAGGGTGCTTAGGTCCTTTGTATTAAATGGTGTATTTGCACAAAATCTATGCAAATTTTCTTGTATGCTTTAAATCACCTCCACCTTATAATACCTAATACAATGTAGTATACAGTTGTTGTATTCTTTTCAAGCATATTTAAAAACTGTACTCTTTTTATTTTTTCCAATATTTTTGATCTATGGTTAGCTGAAACTGAGGATACAAACTGGATATGGAGGACGAATTTTAGTGTGAAAAGGGCAAAGGGTCACACCTTACAGTTCATAGTTGTTTTTTGGTTTTTTTTTTTGAGACAAAGTTTTGCCCTTGTTACCCAGGCTGGAGTGCAATGGCGCGATCTCGGCTCACCGCAGGCTCCACCTCCTGGGTTCAGGCAATTCTCCTGCCTCAGCCTCCGGAGTAGCTGGGATTACAGGCACGTGCCACCATGCCCAGCTAATTTTCTGTATTTTTAGTATAGACGGGGTTTCACCATGTTGACCAGGATGGTCTCGATCTCTTGACCTCGTGATCCACCCGCCTCGGCCTCCCAAAGTGCTGGGATTACAGGCTTGAGCCACGGCGACCGGCCACAGTTCATAGTTTTATCTTGCGTGGCACTCTACACCTGTGTTTTTCCGTATGCCTGCCAGCCAGCCCGCACACCAGCACCACAGGCTTTTGTCAAACTGAAAGCACAATAAAATGCTGGGGTCTTAGGGAAAAAAAATTATTAACCATTTCATTACAGCAAAAAGGTTAACTTCTGAGATGCTTCTTCCTCACTACTCTAGCTGGCGTGCATAGGGAAACACACGTAAGGCACTTTGATAACTTGTAGAGGAAAGGGTTCTGGTGGTAAAGACGGAACACCTGGGCTCAAGTCCTTCCTCTGCCAGTTACTCAACCTGTGAACTTCCTGACCACAGTAACTACAACTGAAAACGAGAATAATCCCACTCACCGCCAAGTGTTGTTACAAGGATCCACTGCAAATACTAGCTTATATAGAATTTATCTTTTTAAAATCGGAAGGTTAGGTTAGGTACTGAGTTCCAGTGCCAACTGAGCCGGGACGGAAACTCTTCTGGTAATGCGGCTTGGTTCTGAATACCTGTCACTTTTTGTTGCACTTTAACTGCAACAAAGATGAAGGATCAAACACAGGGTTTATTAGGCCACCCCTAAGCTTTACGTGGCGTTTCTGACATCCCAAACGAGGATTTCGGGCGGTCCAGCCCCCGGCCACGAGCCTCTCGGAACCCCGTCGGCTGAGGAGGAAGGCGAGGCGGTCCCCAGACCACGCAGCCACCGCGCACGGCACAGGCTCGGACCGCCAGGCTCCCGCCGCCGGGGTTCGCTGAGCCCCGGCCTCCCTCCGCCCCGGTGCCGGCAAGGAGGCGGGCCACTCACCAGGTCAGAAAGACCCCGGTCTTGCGGCCCCTCCTCACGGCATAGAACATCCCGAACCCGCGAGAGGCGGGGCGACAGCGCACGGCGGCCAAGGCGGCTCTGTGGGCCAGAAACAGGAGCCGGCTCATCGCTCACTCCCGTCACCGGGAAGCATCTCGGCGCCCGGCTCAGCGCGGGCACGACCCGGCGCGCTCACTCTCGCACTTCCGTCAGCGGCGCGGGAAGATGACGCGCGTCTGGGCGGGGTCAGGGCGGGGCCTGCGGGGGGGGCGGGGTCGCGGAGCGGACCCGGCCGCTGACCAGCCGGCACTCGTCAGCTTCCGGTCGGTCTTGGAGGAGGCTGGGCCAGGGCTGAGGTCCCGGAGGCGGGCGCGGTCTGGGACGGGACCGAGTCGATGGGAGCCGGGCCTGAGGTGCGCTTGGCCGGGCTGAAGCGCGGGGCCCGCAGAGGAGGGTCGCGGTGGACGCAGTGGGGCCCCTTCTCTGCCCTCCCCGAGGCCGCAGTTCGGGGTCCACGCCCCGGCGCGCTCGCGTCACCGTGGGCAGCCTTTCAGACCCCCGGGCGCCCGGCACCCACGTGCGGTGGCCGCGGGTCCTCCAGGGCTCCGGGAATGCGGATCTGCTCTCAGGGCTGGGGCCAAATGAACGAGCGCACATTTTGTAGCGGGCAGAAGGATGTAAGGAATCATGAGCTAGAATAAGCACAAAGGAGGGCCAGAGGGGCGGCCGCGGAAGCCGCGCTCCTCTCCGTGCCCTGGGCCCACACCCGCTAAGGGGCGCGTCCCCCTCCCTGCTCCGCTGCACGTGGGCGTTTAACCAGGGGATGTCCAGGGCCACAAGGACTACGACCTGGGAGAAAACTGAATTGAAAAGGCAACTGTGGCCGGGCACGGTGGCTCACGCCTGTAATCCCAGCACTTTGGGAGGCCAAGGTGGGTGGATCACCTGAGGTCAGGAGTTCGAGACCAGCCTGGCCGACATGGCGAAACCCCCGTCTACTAGAAATAGAAAAATTAGCCGGGCGCGCTGGTGGGTGACTGTAATCCCAGCTACTCGGAGGCTGAGGCAGGGGAATGGCTTGAACCCGAGAGGTGGAGGTTGCAGTGAGTCGAGAGCACATCACTGCACTCCAGCCTGGGCAACACAGCTAGACTCTCTCTCCAAAACAAAACATTTCTGCCTATTTCTCAGGGTCCAAGAATTGTGCCCACAATATACCAGACACCCGTCTAGACCTGCATCGTTCAGTGCCATTGCCCTGCCTGCACATGCCTGTTGAGGTGTGCTGTACGATACACACCGGACTTTGGAGACTCAGTGTGAAAAATAAAAAGAATTTTAAGAGGAGTGGGGATCGAGGGGAGGGAGAGCATTAGGACAAATAGCTAATCATGCAGGGCTTAAAACCTAGATGACAAGTTGGTAGGTGTAGCAAACCACCATGGCACACGTTTACCTATGTAACAAACCTACACGTCTGCACTTGTATCCGAGAACGTAAAGTAAAATTACGAAAAAAAAAGATAATAAAAGCCAACATGGCATTCATTACTGCCAAAAAAAAATTTTAACACATCGTTAATTTTGTGTGTTGATTACAAGTTAAGCTGATAATATTTTGAATATATTGGATTAAAGTGGTTGGGCGCGGTGACTCACACCTGTAATCCCAGCACTTTGGGAAGCCCAGGCAGGTGGATCACCTGAGTTCAGGAGTTCGAGACCAGCCTGGCCAACATGGTGAAAACCCTGGCTCTACTAAAAACATAAAAATCAGCTGGGTGTGGTGGTGCATGCCTGTAATCACAGCTACTCAGGAGGCTGAGAGGAGAATCGCTTGTACCTGGGGATAGGGGAGGTTACAGTTAGGCAAGATTGTGCCACTGCACTCCAGCCTGGGCAACAGAGTGAGATTGTCTCAAAAAAAAAAAAAAAAAAAAAGAAAAAGAAAAGAAAAGAAAGAAAGAAAAATTAAGTTGTTGCTGTATTTCTTTTCAAATGTGACCACCAGAAAAGTTTAAATGGCTTGTGTGACTCATCATTGAACACAGCTGTTCTAAACACAGGTAAGAACACAGAGCTTCGGTTGCAGGACAGAGAATGAAATAATAGACCCACAAGACAGATAGGCGAAGGATTATGACTGCTATGAGAGCTGAGTCATTATCTCGCTGTGGGCGAGAGTGAGTGCCATGTGGGACCAGGCGTTGGGTTCATTTGCCAGGAGTTGAAAAAGGTGGCGTTCCCTTTCTTTATTGGCATCGCTTGTGACATGGGGGACCATCCCTCTGTCTGAAGAGGTTGATCAGGAACATTTCTTAATTTATATTTTAGGTTTGAGGGTCCATGTGCGGGTTTGTTTTATAGGTAAACTTGTGTCACAGGGGATTGGTGTACTGACCATTTCACTCAGGAATAAGCCTAGTACCTGATAGGTATTTTTTCTGATCCTCTTTCTCCCCCCATCCTCCACCCTCAGGTAGGCCCCAGTGCCCTCTGTTCCCCTCATAATACCCCTGCGTTCTTACTGTGGAACTCCCATGTGTAAGTGAGAACATGGCTTTCGGTTTTCTGTTCCTGCCTTAGTTTGCTTAGGACAGTGGTCTCCAGCTCTATCCATGGTGCTGCAAAGGACATGCTCTTGTTCCTTTGTATGGCTTCATAGTATTCCACAATGTATGTATACCACATTTGCTTTATCCTAGTCTACTGTGGATGGACATTTATGTTGATTCCATGTCTTTGCTATTGTGAATAGTGGTGTGGTGAACATACACAAGCATGTGCCTTTATGGTAGAATGATTTATATTCCGCTGGGTATATACCCAGTACAGGTAATGGCATTGCTGGGTTGAATGCTAGTTCTGTTTTAAGTTCTTTGTGGCGGCCGGGTGTGGTGGCTCACACCTGTAATCCCAGCACTTTGGGAGGCCAAGGTGGGTGGGTCATGAGGTCAGGAGTTCAAGACCAGCCTGAACAATATGGTGAAACCCTGTCTCTACTAAAAATACGAAAAATAGCCTGGCCAGGTGGTGCGTGGCTGTAGTCCCAGCTACTCGGGAGGCTGAGGCAGGAGAATACCTTGAACCCAGGAGACAGAGGTTACAGTGAGCCAAGATCATGCCACTGCACTCCAGCCTGGGCAACAGAGTGAGACTCCATCCCCTCCCCCCCAAAAAAAAGTTATTTGCAGAATCACTAAGCTGTTTCTGCAATGGCTGAACTAATTTCCACTCCCAATATTACATTGTCTGTAGCGGAGAAAGCTGAAATGTAGAGATTAAGTCACTTGCCCTCAGACATGTAGACAGGAAGTGGTACAGCCAGGACTCAAACCTGCCTCCAAAGCCCATCCTCCTAAACCTCAGTCACGATTTTCAAAGTGTGGTCCTCGGACCAGCAGCAAAAGCACCACCTGGATGCCCGTTAGACTTGGAGATTCTGGGCCTCACCCTGGGCCTCAGCATGGGGAGCCCTGGGGTGGAGCCTGGCGGTTTGTGTTTGGGCAACCGCAGCTGCCTCTGGCTCCTCCATCAGGATGGAGGCCACTGTGCGTGACGGTCCCCACCCTGTGGCAGCCGGCCTCCCTCCTTCATCTCTGTTATTCCATCTCCTTACAACAACCCTATGAGGCCAGCAGGGCAGAGGTCGATTTTATTTAACAGATGAAGAAACTGAGTCTTGAGGTTTTATGACTTCCCCAAAGTCATCACATTAGTTTTGGAACTGAAACTTCACTGGCAGATCGGGTTCTAGTCTGAGGCTGTAACTAGCACCAACAAGGACTCTGGGAGCAGTAAGGTCAGAGCAGGAGCTAGTGCCTCATTTCCCTGCCTTTAGTGAAGGAGGAGAGGGAGGCCCAGAGCGCGGCTTCTCCTCCGTGGGGTCTGAGCCACGGTAGTGGGGCACTTACTCTGATGTGCTGATGAGATTCTGTCTTACCTCCTGCAAGCCATTTGTGCTTGGGATTCAACAGTACAGTTTGGAACCTTGACTGCCCACACCTTAACTTCCAGCCATGCAAAACCCGTAGGAAATCTCAGGGCAGAAGTACTTTGCCATAAGTGTCCCATTTCCTGATTTTTTGTTGTGGTGACCGGGTCTTGCTCTGTCGCCGAGGCTGGAGTGCTTTGGCGCAATCATGTGCACCGCTGCCTCAACCTCCTGGGCTCAAGTCATCTTCCCACCTCAGCCTCCAAAACAGCTGTCATTACAGGTGGGCACCTCCTGTATAATTAAAAAAAAAAAGTTTCGAGGTTACAGGGATCTATGATAGCACCACTGCATTCCAGTCTAGACAACAGAGCAAGACACTGTCTCTTACAAAAAGAAAAAAAATTCTTTGTAGAGACAAGGTTACACTCTATTGCTCAGGCTGGTCTCAAACTCCTGGCCTCAAGCAATCCTGTGTGGGCCTCTCAAAGGACTGGGATTACAGGCGGGAGCCGCTGTGCTCAGCCTCCGTTTCCTGATGCAGTCTGGTCACATTCCATTCATTATCCAGCAATCCCCACACCTTCGCCTCCTGCCCTGATGCCTAAGGTTGGGGAATGGGAACTTCACTCTGGTGCAGGCCATGTGGGGTCACCTTAGCCGTAGAGAACCTAGAAAGAGTGGTCAAGCCCCACTGAGTGGCACAGTGCTCTGTTATTATAACTAAGCACTGGGAATTCTAAACACTGTCAGGGAAAAATACTCTTCCCAGGGGAAAAAACAAAAACAAAAACAAAAACAAAAACTCTCTTGTTGGTCTAAGTCTAAGCAAATAGTTGTGGTTACTGCTGGGTTTTAATTATATGTCTATAACTCCATTTTAATTCCTAATATTGTAATGAACATTTCTTTCATGGGAGTTAATCCCGAGGGCTCCCATCTCTGCACTTCATTCCAACACATGTTTGGTCAGCCACAAGAAATTTATTTGGTTCAGAAGCAAAATGCTAGCTTCAGGCACAGTTTGATCCAATTGGCGGGCGCTGCGACCTCCTGCATAAACAGCAGGTGTGAAGCAAACCGTGTTAGCACTCTGACTATGAAGACAAACACGGAGAACTTGCTTTGCTTCACGTCATTCTATGTGATCACCTGTGTTTAAAATGTGAATCCATGAAACAGGGCAGTGGGAATGCAAAGGGAAATATTTTTGTTACAGTGCAGATTTTAGCTCATATATTACATATTTTACTGAATTTGAATAATGTCTTTAAAATCAAAATATATTTTTTTGGCCAGGTACA